TATTTTATGAGCCAATCAGAGAGCGAGAAATTTTCGAAATTTCCAGAGTCACTGTTTTTCGTCGAGCCTGTGAGCCTGCGAGTAAGAGGGACAGTGGTTCTGGGTACGAGATTGCGATTTTAGAGTGACCAGAAAGAAATGTCACGTCGTACATTCATGTCTGAACGTGAATCACCTTTCCCACTTAAAAAACCGACTCTTGTCAACACAGTTTTTGTTCGCTAGAATTCTAAACATCTACTTTGCCGCCATGAATATCAATCCTTTTGACAGTATGTATAAATAGAGCAGTATTAACACAATAGTCACACTAGCCCGGGGGGAGGGGGGTACTCGACCCCGTTTTGGATAGGTACTTGCCGCCAGTGATCTAAAACCCTGACCCTGTTTTTAAAAGGCACTAGAAAGTGAAAATCCATACCCTGTCCAAGACAAATCGGAAAAATAAGGAATAGCTATCTACGCCGCAATCCATCAAAGACAATAAGAAGTTTTTGATAACACGTTAATCCTGGCACAGTGAAACGGTATTTCTACTATTTCTACGGTATTTCTTATGAAAATGTTACCCTGTCCAAAACACACACAAAAAGAATTATTTCGGTCTTTTATCTAAATTGTACAGCCTGTTTAAGAGAATTTTCGGGTGAAATGTATACCCTGTTTTTAAAAGACAGCAAGGCCAAAAACCATACCCTGGCCAGCGGCACGTCCACGTATAGCAACTTATAGCAAATAGAGCGGATTTCGTATGGCTGTGCAAAAAAAACACGGTTACTTTCGCGAGGTTCCGTGACCGTGCCGTTGCACAATCACACGAAATGCGCTCTATATGGGAGTACCCCCGGGGACACTAGGCACCATGTTCCTCTCGGAAATTTTGGGGGTGGTCTCTCTCTCCGCCCGGGATGTAGTCTTCCCCCAACCAAACGCTCTACAATCTTAAATTTATGTCAAACTATGTAGTGTTTAATGCGAGTAAATAAAAAATTGTGATGACGTAACTGAACCAAGCCATGAATATTTAATTAGGGAAATTTCCCTTTGTCTATGAAATGAAACTGAAATTTCAAAACTCATCAAAAGTAAAGATAATTCTAATCTTAGCACTGTATCTTAAGGTCCGCGTCATAGTCCATTTCCATTTTTACAGAACATGATCGACACATCATGACACATTGTTTGTCGACCCGGATTTCTTCTCTAACTGCCTACGAGTCTACGAGCAACAACTGTGAATACTAATACTTACCATCAAAATACAGTCGTTTTGTCACTGTTGTAGGAATAGAAGAGCACTCTCATTGCTACTGGTGTTCCTACAATAAAGTTGATATTTATTCGCTAAGTTTTACGAAGTTTAGGGCTTTATATTGACTATCAGTAGGGCTATACCATACTCGTCTCTAGAGAGATCTCTCGCAGTTCATACTTAAGCTTCGATAGCGTGACAAAAAATCTCGCTGAATACAGATTAAATCGATTTCAATGATTTTTGATTATCTGTGAACTTTTCTGTCCAAACTCGCGTTAAAATCTTTAAGGGCAGTGATATCTTTACTTGATATAGACGCTACAGCACCGGGAGGACTTGATGTATACATGTATAGCTTACCTTATTGTCCTTATTCAAAGGAGATCAACCGACCATATCACACACACACATCTTTCCACTCATAACCGACTGATGTATACAGTTAAAGTAGACTAAAGAGACAAATCTATCCTAAAATCAAAAACGTTTGAACGAGTCTACGAGCAATCTACCGAATTCTGCCTTGATGCCAAGTAAAATTTGCTTAGCTGCACATTCTTGGAATGTAATTTAAGAAGTTGGTTGGGTATCATGTTTACTCACAGGAAGCCCAAATGTGAGGG